CCTGCCGAGTCGGGCCCACTCTGCAGGTGGTCATGGGGCGGGGTGAGACTAGGAACACTGCCCGTTTGCCCACACTCACCTTTCACAACCCAACCGACGGTGCTATGGAGCAGGAAGGGCGTGGGCGGGGCCACAGGAAGCGGCAACGCTGCGGCCGCGGCGCGGGCGGGGGGCCGGCTCCGCAGAGCCTGGGAGCGGCGGGACGTGCAGCTGCGGGGCTCCGGCCGGCGTGGACCAGGCTGGCCAGGGATGGTGACCCGCGGGGCCCTGGGAGTCCTGCTCCTCCTGCACCTGGCCTCAGGTGAGCAGCCAGCCCCTTACGCCCTCCGGCCAAGCCTGGGAGACCCAGGGTCCGGGACAGGTAGGGCGTGTCTGGAGCAGGTCCTCCGAGGAGCCCAGCTGACGGCTGCAGCACCTCCTCTGTCGTCGGGGTCAGTCCTGCTCTCCCGATAAACTTTGGTCAGCACTGGTCTCAGGTCCCCTTTGCTTCCCCACAGCGCCCTGGAGATGGGAGAGCATCGGGGGTGCGCCCACACTTCGTCCCTCAGGCTGCGGCTCCCCGACAGGCCTGGCTCTGGGACACGGGTGGGCCCAGGACAAATTCTTCTCCAGCTGGCCTCTGAGCTCCAGGGGAAGGCGGCTGGGACCCTCGAGGCTGAGGCCAGGCCGGGCCTGCACGGCCCTCCCCCCACCCCGCCCACCCCCCTTCCCCGTCACGCCGGCTCCCCTCCGTGTCTCCTCAGCGGTCCCCTGGTCCTCAGTCACCCAAGCCAAGAACAAGGCTCTCCCTGCCCCTTCACTCTCGGCCTTGCCCACAGCCAGGCAGGAGGTGGTTCTCCAGAGGCAGCTCCCTTGCCGTTCCGCTCCCAAGAAAGCCGGCCCCACCCCTGGCCCACCTGGCCAGCTCTCCCTGGCGCTCTGTGCCGGCTGCAGGGATACCCTCGGGCAGAGGAAGCTGCGCCCTTCCCGTGCACCCATCTCCGAGCCTTGCCTGCTCCTGCAGTTTCGCTCTTGGTTCAGTGAGTGGCCTGCGTGCCTGTCCCCCACCCCTGTGTGTGTCCAGCATGCGGTCACACGGCTTTGCGCGTACGGACCGACCTCTTTTGGGGGCTTAAAAAAACCCTCGTCTCTTCAGATGTTGGGAGATTCAGGGAAACGCAAAGTTCAGTCTGTGGCTCCAAAAAGTGTGAAAAATGGCCGGGCCGTCCCGGCGGGATGGCGGCAACACCGGATGGATTAATTAACTTCATAACCGCTAGTGGCTCTTGCTCGATCTCATAAGGACCCTGGGCCCCTCACAAACGATGTAATTTTCTGGTCGGGCCTTGAAGGCTCCCCCGGGTGATGGAGTTTACCCTATGGTGACGGGTGCTCTGGTTCAACTGTTTAAACAGTGTGAGGAGCCCTGAGAGGTTTATGTCTAGAGGGAAGGCTCTTTGTTTTTTAAATTTTTAATTAATTGATTAATTAATTTTTGGCTGCGTTGGGTCTTTGTTGCCGAGCGTGGGCTTTTCTCTAGTTGTGGCGAGCGGGTGCTGCTCTTCTTTGCAGTGGCTTCTCTTGTTGCGGAGCACGGGCTCTGGGCGTGCAGGTTTCAGTAGTTGTGACACATGGGCTCAGTAGTTGTGGCTCGCAGGCTCTAGAGCGCAGGCTCAGTAGTTGTGGTGCACGGGCTCAGCTGCTCTGCAGCACGTGGGATCTTCCCAGGCCAGGGCTCGAACCCGTGTCCCCTGCATTGGCAGGCGGATTCTCAACCACTGGGCCACTAGGGAAGCCCGAGGCTCCTTCTTTCGTGGACTTTTTGAGGCAGTTGCCATGTGTTCATTTGCTCTTTCATTCATTCATTCCAGAAGCGCTGGTGGAGCCCTCTACTCAGTGTCAGGCCCTGTGCTTATATACCATGTGGTCCCTGCCCTCAAGGGACTCACAGTCTAGCAGAGTGATGGGGTGCTTCAAAGGAGTCCAGGGCATGGTGGGGGCCCAGAGGGAAGCAGACACGCTCTTTAATAAAGGGATACTTTACCAAGGACATGTCAGGGCTGGCACAAGGGACAAGAAGCTGTGGCTGTTGGCAGAGGGAAGCAGGCCACTGGTGGGGAGCCTTAGGGAGGGGTGAGTACTGCCCTGACCTCTGACCTCCTCAGCCCCCCCCCCCCATACGAACCCAGATCGAGGTGGTCCTTGGGGGCCAACCTCTGGGGCAGAGCGGGCTAGAGGAGAGTAGGGTGGGTCTGCAGGGCCTCTCGCACACAGGCCTGGCTCAGGCTCTCCCCGTCTGGGCTAAATGCTTCTAACGCCTTCCAAAAATAATTGCAAAAACGAAGTTTCATAATCTTGTCTGCACCAGGTACTTGCCAAGAGCTTCACAAGCCCAACGGCCCTTGTGAAATTTCATGGCAGGCCAGGAGGGAGGCTCTGTTCACACCCACCGAGCTGCCCCCCGCACCCAGCACCCATGTGTGACCCCTCAGGCATACAGAGGGCTGGGAGTACAAAGAGGCTGGTGCCTTCCCTGGAGCTGACAGTTTCCTCCACCTCTCTGCTCTTCGTCCCTCTTTTTCTCTTTTTCTCTTTCTCCTTCCTTCCCTCTTCTTTCTATCTTCCTCCTTTGTTTAAAAAGCAAACATGCATGTTATTATACACATGCTCATCCATCATGTGATTTTTCCCATTAAACAACGTGTTATGAATATCTTTACAGTCTAACAGAAAACTGAAGTTCCTTTACAAGCTACTCAAAACATTGTCACATATATAGGGCTAATGATTATAAGATGCACTTGAAAATGTTATTTTTTTACCTACGTTTACCCTAACTTTGGTCTGCCATTATCTTTACCATGTTTTTTATTTTTGTCTAGTTTCATTTAATGTGAAAGTTAATATTGTGCATAATTTTTTTTAAAAAAATCAAACACTGGAGAAGGGTGTGAAAAAATGAAAAGTAAATGTCTCCCTGCCCACTTCACCCACAGTTCCTGGTGGGCCAGTCAGAAACGTAAAGGTACAGATTGTCAAGATCCAGCCCCACTGCCCGCATAAAGGGTGCAATAAAGCCGTTCATGGAAAAAGACATACAAATAGATGCTCAAACCCCTTCTTAAATTAAAATGAAATTCAATTTTACCCCTCAAACTGGCAAAGGTTTGAAAGTTTGGTAAAGTCTAGGACTGTGAACACGTGGGTAAATAGTCACTCTTGCCCACTTTTGGTGCGAGTGTAAATAGGTGTAGCCCTTTTAAGAAGGAAATTTGATAATACTTAGCAATTTTTAAAAGTTCATACTTTTTTTTTTTTTTGCGGCACGCGGGCCTCTCACTGTTGTGGCCTCTCCAGTTGCGGAGCGCAGGCTCTGGACGCGCAGGCTCAGCGGCCGTGGCTCACGGGCCCAGCCGCTCCGCGGCATGTGGGATCTTCCCGGACCGGGGCACGAACCCGTGTCCCCTGCATCGGCAGGCAGACTCTCAACCGCTGCGCCACCAGGGAAGCCCAGAATTTTATATTTTAAAGGACGAGGAGGTAGAAGTGTTTGAGTTCAGTGGGTTGGGAGACTGAGTTATTTATGATACTGGTGATTCTAGTTTTTTTAGTGAGGAAGCTATAGGGATTTCGGCATTATATAGTTATGGTACTTGGTTGGTGATTGTTACTGGCTGGGCGCTGTTTATTGGTGTTGTGGTTATTATGGAGATTACTC